ATCATCATCATCATCATCATTGTTGTTGTTGTTGTTTTCACCGTTTTCACTTGGTATTTTCTATTTGAAGGCCATTACTGCAGCGGACAGGAAAGTCCTAACTTGTACTGCAAAAGCTGTGCTAGTTCCCAATCCCTCAGGCACTGTGAACTGAGTCAAAAGGACATCCTTTGTCCAAAAGGAAAGGAAAAATGTTTGGAGGTAAGTCTGACCTAGATTCGTAATACCGTTGCTATCTTCATCTTTATTTTACAATCTCATGTGGAATTTTTGTCAGCAAAATAAGTCCAGTAAAAGAAGTAACGTACATAGAAAGGCTGATATAGCTAAACTTACTTCCTCTAGAATTCCGCAGAGATATACATGACTTAGTACTCTTGTTTAAATTTAAGGTTGGGCTCATTTCCGCTAATTTTGAACGCTTTTTTCTTCCTCAAACAAGTAGTTATGCTACTCGTAAATACGATCCCGCCAACTTCAAGTTTGTTTATATAAGTATTCTTAAGTTTTAGGCCCGGGTCAGTCACCATGCTTCACGGCAGGTTGAACCGAAAAGCATTATTTTTGGGACTGTACGTTCCGCTTTGGGTTCGGCTCATGTGGGGTGCGGCGTTTTACCTGGGCCTTAAACACACATATTTTATATTTTCTATAAATTCAATTGGGGCTATCGCCCTGTTTTCTTCTCCGGCCGCCCTTAGCTTCGTATGTTGTGTATTTAATTGTATTATGTTTGTGGCAAATTCCAATAAACTAAACTAAACAAAGCAGCTAGTTTTGAAAAACAATGAACATGGGATTGATTATAGATTCATAAAGTTTGCCTGCCATCGTAAGGTGCTAATGAGATTCACGAGATTCATTCCTGCAGCTGATTGATGCCAAGTTATAGAAACTCTCTTGTTAATGGACAATGGGCAGTTTTTGCCTTTAATTGTAGGTCGATAATGAAATTCACGAGATTCCTTCAGCTGAATGATGCCAAGCAATGCAATATTGATACCAAGCAATAGAATACTCTCTGGTTGATATCACATGACGGGCACTGTTAGCCTGTCGTGTATATGCTGGTAATGAAATTCATTTAGCTGATTGATACCAAGCAATAGAATACTCTCTGGTTGATATCACATGACGGGCAGTGTTTTTTGCCTATAATTGTAGACTAGTAATGAGATTCATTCAGCTGATTGATGCTATAAATTGGTCCTTGGCTAATAAAAGCACATAAGGGGCAATGCTTGCCTTTGAATATAGTCTGGTAACATTTTGCATTTTTCTTTTCCTTTAGGTGGAGTTCTACGGTGATAACGGACAAGGTTTCGTACGAGACTGCATCGAAGAGGACAAATGCTTCGAGTCCAAACTCCCTCAGTGTCTGGCGGTGACTGGTAATTCCTCGTACTGTTCCTTCAGCTGTTGCCTGGGAAACCTCTGCAATGCGGGCGCGACTTTTAGGGTCAGCAGTATCTCTCTTGCTTCATGCGTGATAGTTGGTCTTGTCTTGTATTTCCTGTAGGCAAGCTTATCTTCAAGATAACTAGCCTGCTGCATCTATAGCAATCAATGTTAATAGAACTTTTATGCATATAAGCTGGATAAGGCGCCACTTAAATAGTGAACGTGATCAATATATTTAGCCAATTACAGATAAAACGATCTAATAGAAGGAATAATCCTTGCGTCTCATCATGAACACTCTTTGATGCTATTGTTAGAATCATTTACTTGATCCTTTGTCTTTTCGCGCGCACTCTTCACTTTTGCTGATGTTTTCTTGTGATTTTTTAAACGTGTGCAAACAGCGTAGTGCGTAAACAGTATGCACGTGCAGAAAACAAATGATGGCAAATGTGATTCTAAAAATAGCATCAAACGGTGCCTTTGATGGTTGCAAATAATACCAGCGATGTTTTTTTTAGTTCATTTTCTGTTGAAATTATAGCATTTCCGCTGGAATTGTAGAAGCCTTTGCACAATGAGGCTGTTTTGGGGGACGTTTTGATCCTGACATGGCATCATTTTTGCTTGCTGATAGTTAAAAGTGGTAGGAAACCTTAATTGTCGTCTTAATTTACAAATTGTTTTCGTTCCTTGATGCATTGTATGTCAACTGATGAAGCGTCTTCACAAGAGCTAGATAATGCAACGCGTTTTAAGAGTTTGGAACACATTATTTTTGTCCTAAAATCTTACTCGATGTTATTTCGCTATTAGAGAGCGGTCATTATCGTCTGATGTTTCTGGTTTAATCACCGCGACTCCCTCCCCCCCCCCCCCCCCCCCCCCCCCCCCCCCCCCAAACACACACACTTCGGCGACGTTTTACACCGACGCTAGCCTGCTGTCAAACTATCGAGCTTTAAGCAACATGATGACTTTAGGAGTGAAAATGGTTGAATGAGTCCATGTGTACAAAAAAGGATGAATTAACAAATTTACATCAGTTTTTATGTGTCTGTCCTTTTATTTAAAAAAAATATATGCGGCATCATATCGTCATTACATCACAAGGCGTAGCCAAGAAAATCCGCATACTACATGGACAATGTGATGACTCATGAAAACCCGATGTAAATTTCTTTTTTATGATAACAAAAACAACAAAAAAGTTTCGCTTTTAGCTAACAAAAGAACAAACGGAAAGAGCGCGCGTAGTCTTATTTGTCTGTCCCTTTATCAATCATTAAAAAGTAACCAATCAGCGATCCTGAAATTTGTGAGTTATTCATGTGTGTAAAAAATGGATTACTTAAGCAGTGGACACTTCTCAAACTAACAATATTCTTGGTTGTCCATGATTTTTTTAAATTTTAATTTGATTTAATTAAATTAATTAATTAATTAATTA